CCTCCCCCCCTCTAAAATCAATTCTCTCCTGGAGAACGTCTTCGTGAGCCTCTCATGATTTCAGGATAGTTGAAACCCTCTTGCCCTCTTGAACATTCAGAAAGAGTGCATATGAAATTTGAATTACGAAATGTGTTCTCGTTAAAATACCATTCTCTCCTGGAGACCGTCTTCGTAAGCGTCTCTGTGTTCCCCGAAAGGATCGCAAGGTGTTACGTACCTAGAGTTTATTTTCTTCTCTCCTGGGGCCTCTTAATTCAATTCTCTCCTGGAGCACGTCTTCGTGAGCCTCTCATGATTTCAGGATAGTTGCAACCCGCTTGAACATTCAGACAGAGTGCATATGAAATTCTAATCACGACAGGTGTTCCCCGAGGGGATACATACCTAGAGTTTGTTTTGTGAACCACGTCTATTCTCTTTGGGGAACGTCTTCGTGAGTCTCTTCTGGTTTCAGAATAGTTTAAACCCTATGATGCTCCGGTTCTATGCTCACCGATGATCTGAGCCATGGGGCGAGGTTGTTTCCCTAAGAACCTTTCTGAACATTTCGAGAGCATATGAGCAACGGCTTCTATTTGCGGTAGTGGTGATTCGTCTAGGGGCGTTCCTTTTCTATAGCCCAATGTCAGAGTTAGTTGGCGAAACGAGGTAGGAACACCCCGAAAACGAGATGGGCATCAAATGCGCCATGTGTTTGCAATGGTTTGGTTAATGACATGTTTAGCTTGTGAAACGAGGTAGGAAGACCTCTCGAGAACGAGATGGGTTTCCACACACCAAAACGAAATACAGGCATGGAGACCGAGATCACACACCAAAAACGATGCGGGCTTGGAGACCGCTGCTGTGGCTCGAAGTATGCCACTCGCGTTCTCTTCTCTTCCCGCTGTCCTACCTTTCGTGTCTCCCTCCTCTCAAGTATCAAAAATTAAGCAACTTTTTCAGTATATAGGAAAGTAAGTTTTAGTTTTCCATTTAGAGTAAATTTAGTTGACAAAGTAAACCAATCTAGCTACCAAAGTAAATTAATTTAGTTTACAAAGTAAGTTTTTGGTTGTCCCAAATTATGTTTCTTTATTGCGCTGGTCCGCTTTGCTGGAACAGATTAGACTCATTCATATTCTTGTTTCTTTTGCAATGGCCTGGCTGATGTGAGGTGGGGAAAACTAGGTGGTATGGATATGTGTTTCATGTCACGCACGGAATATATGTAGTTTGGTTGGTTGGTTGGTTGGTTGGGTGGGTGGGTGGGTGGGTGGGTGGGTGGGTGGTTGTGGTTGTGGTTGTGGTTGTGGTTGTGATTGGTTGGTTGGTTGTGATTGATTGGTTGGTTGGTTGGTTGGTTGGTTGGTTGTTGCTGGTTGTCGGTTGTCGGTTGCCTACAACCGCAACCTAATGGGGATGGCCTCCAACCCAACAGCGCCGGCCTCCAACGTGCCAGTGAGGGCCTCCAACCTAATAGCGATGAACCCTAAACATTGCCCAAACAAACCTTCCTATAGATACCAAACCCGAAACAAAACCGAAACAATCCCGAAAGAAGTGAAGCCTGAAACCAACCCTAAACAACCCAGAAGTTAAGCCCTGTACCAACCCTAAGCCAGGCAAAACAAAGCCTAAACAAAACCAAACCCTGAACCAAACCCAATCAAATTCGCGTAAGGAAACCAAACCCTAAACAAAACCCAATCAAAAACCCTAAAGAAGCCAAACCCCAAGCCAAACCCAAGGAAATCCTCCCAAAGAAGTCAATCCCTGAAAAAGAACAACACAAACCGTAAAGGAATCAACCCTAAACCAAACCTGACGGAACCCTAAAGAAGTCAACCCTAAACCAACACAAACAACCCCCAAAGAAGCCAAACCCCAAACCAAACCCAAGGAACCCCCCTAAAGAAGTCAAACCCTAGAAACAAACCAAAACAAACCCTCAGGGAGTCAAGCCGTAAACCAAGCCCAACCAAAGCCTAAAGAAGCCAAGCCTCAAACGAAACCCAAACAAAATAATAGCGGTGGCCTTTAACCTAATAGCGATGGCCTCCAACCTACTCGCGATGGACTCCAACCTACTAGCTTCAATGCACTTGCAGGTCTTAAGCTTCCACTGCATCGGCGAAAAAGTTGAGAGACTCTTGCTGAAACGATATTCTGCAGTCTTTTTGCAATGCTCGCAGGTACCCGGATTCTGAAGCTGGTCGAAGACAGCTTCAACTTGATCTCTTCAGCCCGGAGGTCAAAGACGATCCTTTTGCTATTGCCTCAGATATGCAAAAAACCTACAACTCATCCATCGTCTGCCCAATTCGACTCCAGGCTATTCTGAATGTTTGGTTGTGTTGCAATGAAGAACCAGCAGTTGGGATTCTCTGTTTTTTTGGTTGTACCCCCCGCCAAGGTTCAAGCAGCTGATCTAAAGCTACGGCTTATTAAGTGCGCTTGAGATTGCCTTGAGGAAACAAACAGCTTGCACTCTGCTCGGAGGTACACTGGCCCTTCCAGGAAGTGAGGCTTTCACTGCTATGTGGAAGGAAGGCTTCGGTACTGTACAACACTGAAGCCGCACTGTACACTCAAGCCTGCAAAGGCCTCCAACCTTGTAGCGATGACCTCCAACCCAACAATAGCTTCAATACACTTGTGTTGATATGAAGCCTCGCAAAGTGGCCGAATAAGTCATTGAGGCTTCTGACTCACCCTGAAAAGCGGTTTGCGAAGACCCATGAGGCAAAGACACCGTCTCACAGGAGGCAAAGAGCCTCAGCTTAGCATCCCCGTGCGATAAATTGTGCTTCTGCATGGAGCAACACGAGACTCAATCTTTTTAAAGCACACTTTCTCTATTTCTTTCTTTTATCCTTTCTTTTGGTTCTACGATGTGCTATGGCTTAGCTGAGCAGATCTGAAGATGAAGCATCATGCCCACGTGCGCTGGCCCTCAAGTAGCAAAGAGCCACTGCAGATGCTTTTCCTGCAACAGTGATCTCTGCCAACCACACTTTCAATATTTGGCACGACATTATAAAGAATTCTCGTGAACCAGGCGGCTGATAGCGCTCTTGCGTGTGCCAGGGCCCACTTGAGCTCGGTGGGCTTCTCTTCAGCTTTTCTCTTAGACTGCATTAGTTTTGTTTCCTGCGGGCGTCGGGCATTGTACATCGCCATGGGTTCTCAAGCTGCAATGTGATGAGTCGCGATGTAATCAGCTTGTGAAGCAGCTTGTGAAGCAAGTGCGGCTCGGAGTCAATAGCTTGCGAAGCTAGTAAGTAATTAGCAACATGTCTAATGTCTAGTCTATGCGACTACAACCTGTGCCTGGCTTGTGGAAGCATCAGGTAAGCCGTCGGTTTTTCGTCTCATTAGGCTGATTAGGTTTGGCATGCCTCACTTGGACGGCTTTACTTGCTTTCTACTCATTTACTGCTTACTCTAGGTTTGAAATGGCTCAACTTGTGTCTCACAAAGTTTGTTTGGTTCGGAGTTCCATTGAGTCAGCTTCACTTCTCAGCTTTAAGGTGAAGCACGGCCGAGCAGAGGTACCTTTGGTGGGCCAAGAGGCAAAGTGCGCTTCGCAAAGCTCCGTAGAAAGGGACCTACTAGGAACAAGGACGCTACTAGGGGCTCCTGGCCGTACTACTAGGAGCAAGAAGCTACTAGGCAAAGTGCGCTTCGCAAAGCTCCGTAGAACAGAACTATGTCGCAAGACGACTTTCCGACAATTTGGCAGGCAGAGTCGGCATCAGCATCTCAGGCTGAGTTCAAAGTCCGCTGTGATTCGTTTCACCATTCCTTGAAATGGGAAAACAACAAAACGATAATCGCACATGAAAGAGAAGCTAATCTAAGGTTGACGGACCCCTCCCTTCCTTTGTAATCTCCTTTTTCTTGTTTCCCTATATCCACATTATCCATGTGCAAAAGTATGGTTCCAGTTGGCTGCAGAGCTTGGCTTAGCGAGCAGCATGACTGCGGCCTCATGGCTTTAAGTGGTACATGACGCAGCAATGGCCTGGTAGCTTGGGCCTGCCCGTATTGACTGGACCAGCCTTCCTATTGCAGGCGGAGTAAGATACCGGCTTGGCAAAGGGGCGAAAAGCTATGTACTCCATACTTCTATACCAAGTGTTGAAAACTCTACTTTGAGCAAAAGAAGACAGGAAAGGCAGAACGCTGTAAAGAAAGAAGAAAAGGTTCCTGCTAAATTACAAAGAGTTAAATGAACTCTACTTTGAGACTCCACAAATCAGTCATCGCTGTGGGATGTTTACAGCAACAGTGGCATCAAGCAAACTTTGGCCATCCGTCACCAAACATCGTAATGCGACAGTCAATTGCATTCAAATCATGACCATGTTGACTTGCATAACTCGTCTGCAGGTATCCCCTTCCACAGGCCTGTGTGAAGCCAGGACGCAGGGCAATGACGAGGCCAAGTGCTTTGTTTTGATGGCTCATTGACCTTAGCTGTTGCTTAGATGGCACGTTGTCAATGGTTTTCAACGGTTTCAACCTCGCGTCGGCACCTCATTGTGTTTCAGCCTTCGCAACGCTGGCCTTGGTGTTTTTGCCTCTGAAAATAGATCTATTGCTTAGACGCTTACAAGATTTGACAAGATCTTTACATGTTGGAGAAGGCCATGGCTCCTCGCACACAGCATGATGAGAAGTGTTTCTGGATATTTTTTCACCTTGCAGTGGCAGCAGCAGGAACCCGAACATACTCTTGAGGACCATAGTTAGACTGTCCGCGTTAACATCCAAGACAGTAGGTTTAGCCGTTAGTTTAGGCAGCGCTGTGAGTTTGCGTCTCAAGAATTCCCTTTGTGATTCCGGTACCAAACCGTCGCTGTGAGTTTGCACCTTGTCGTAGCTGGAACTTACTCCGAGACTTGCCAGGCGCACTGTGCGGAAGACAAGACGGAGACCAGCGACCGGACTCACCCAAGACGGCTTTTGTTCCTGGATGTCGATGGGGTCTTGCACCCGCTGAAGGCCCAAGTCTCTTCATTTTCATCTACAACACCACCACCAACAGCAACACATAATACTACCGTATATTCTAAGGGCTCCGCCCCTGGTGCCGCCGACCCCTTTTTTGTGAGACAAGGCAGCAGGGCTAGGAAGGCAACAACCGAGCCACAGACATAGTTCTGTTGCGGACACTCCGGCGAGATGGAGGAGGTGCAGCGCCTGGTGACTTCAGGAGCTGATATTGATGCCAGAGACGAGAAAGGCTCGGGCCCCCAGACTTGTGGGAGCTAGAAGGATAGCTTTCCCCAAACCCATAGTAGAAAAATGTAGCTTTGGAGACCTTGAACAACCTTGGACATACTTGGAAGCTGCATGAAGTTGGCTGATGTTGCAGCTTTGTGGGTCCAAAAAACCTTTACAGTGAGGACCCTTTCCTTGAAAAATCGTAAGCTTCCCATAGCGTGAAAATAACATCCGAGAGCGTTTGAGTTTCATAGTCTTTGTCGGTGACTCCCTTCATCGGCAAAGCATGGATCGAGCTGAGTGAAGCTTCCTCCGCACCCTTCTGCACTTCTGAGGCTTCACTCCATTGCTTGTGGCGGCACTTGCGGGCCTCCTGGACGTGGTCGAACGGCTCGCCGAAGCCAAGGCCGAGTGGGAGGCGAAGGGTGGCGAGAACATCCGGGGAGCCCCAGAGGCTTGGAAGGCTTGGAAGGTCGGAAGGGCGATCAGATTTCCGATCGTTTTCGGCCCGAAAAGGTCGGTCCAAAAATGGAAGACAAAGAGACGCGTGAGAGGCCTGAAGAAATTGAGGGGGCAGTCTGCCCAAAACATATAAGGTCGATTCATGTCTTATAAACACTTCATCCAAACTTGCATGTTGATTATTGTTTGGCAAGAATAGGATGCTTGTTTGTACGGCCGGGAACCCTGGAGCTCGAGGACGGAACCATTTGCAAGACACTCGTAAGACAGTCGAAAGGTCCCCATGGAAGATGTTAAGACAAGAAGAGTTGTGGTTTGGCAGGTTTTGAAGACTGTTATGATGCTCTTGGAGCTGCAAAGCCACTGGAGGCAATAGCCTGTGCAGTGGAGAAACAAACTTCCAATTTGCTGGGTGCGAGTTTTCGGGAGATGCTCCCTCCAAAGTAAAAGAGAATTCCAAATGTCCAAAGTGACCCATTCCTCATGAATTGTGCGGGGCATCAACTTCTTTATCACGTTGACTTAAAGCAACTTCTTTTCACGTCTTTTTTCCACTACCTCTCCGCGGAGAAAACCAAGTCCTTGCGACTCTTCGGCGGCGCCACGGCCGAGGCTCTACGCCGCTGCATCTCGAGGCGCTGCGCGGCCACCCCTCCACGGTGGATCGGCTCGTGGGGGTGGGAATGAGTCGAAAGTCTGCGGTTTGTCGGCCAAATTTGTTATTCTGATCAGGTCAAAAGGGCGAGTTCGGAAGGGAGAACCAGAAAGAGCGCGAATCTGGATGAGTTGTGGCTCATGATGAGTCGAAAGGCAATGGAAAGGACCAATGTGGAGCAACTGGATCAATTTCTTCCTGGCTTTTATTCAATGCTGTGACAAAAGGTTGTTTTGTGCCCTGCAAGCGACAGAACATGAAGGGAGAGAGCTAGAACCAGGAGATCTCAAGACTATAAGCAACACACCGGTGAGATTTCGAGCATACGCAAACCAAAGTGACCTCCCATTCTTCATGAGTTGAGAGGGGCGTCAACTTCTTAGTCACGTTGACTTAAACCAACTTCTTTCCGTTTTTTTCGTCCACCTCTCCCGGCAGGAAATCGCTTCATCCAAACTTGCATGTTGAAAGCTTTTTGTTTGTGCGTTTGAATGCGATGCAGACTTCGTGAACCCGAGAATCCCTCCCAAAAAGCAAAGCAAATCCGTGAAACCCTCCAAAAAGATCCAACTCCACGTGCACGCGCCTTTCCGCTGATTCCCTTCCTGCAGACCTTCCAAAAAGAGGAAACATTCTCCGCTCATCCTCCGCGCCGCCACGTCCTGAGGCGAAACGCCTCTCCAGGCGGCGGCCATGCTCGGCCAATCCGACACGGCGCAGCGCTTGGTCGACCTTGGCGCCGACGTGACGCCCGGAGCGCCGACGTGACGCCGTGGCTTGTCAAAGCTGCAGCGGTGTTGCGGGCTTTGGTGGCCAGCTGACCCATCCTTAGGCAGCAGTGGGGTATACTGAAGTTTGGGACTTGTTCAAATCGGTGTCGAAATCCTTTTTCGATTGCTCTTCAGCTGAAAGCACCGGCAAAACAAGAAAATACACCAACTTCGAACATGGTTGCAAGGAACAAAAAAGAAAGTGTGATAGGCGGCCTTTGTTTTCTTCGGCTTCTGGATCCTCTTTGGGTCGGCACCGTTGGTCGGGTCACCGCCAAAGTTGGCATGAGCACCAAAACCGGCTTGCTCAGAGGTCATACGGTCAGCCAGCGCTTCCCAGAACCGCAGCGTTTTGTCAGTGTTGCATGGGGACACTGCACATGCCCAAGAATGAAGTAGGCGAAGTAAAGAGAAAAGGAAGAAAGCAAGAAAGGAATATATGAAAGGAAGGAAAGAAAGGAAAGAAAGACAGGAAAGAAGTTGAGTTCAAAGAAGGCCAGCGCCAAACGAAATAGTTCTCCAACCAAGTATAGGGAAAACAACTTGGAGCAGACCCATCCGCCGCAATGGCAAAGCGTTCAGGCCGAAAGGCCAAAAAAGGTGTTGTGATGAAGACCTTGAAACGTGGTGCGAAAGCCCAGCGCCCGGAGGAAACTTTCAAAAAGTTTCTGCGGCTGGCACGGAAAGTGCACAATCCAAATGAA